TCAGCCATCCTGTGTCCAGTGGAGCTGTGTTCATCCTCACAGCCACAGTGGCGTTCAGGTCCTGGCCCAGGTGTTGGCTGATACTGTGACCTTAGCCAGTCTGCTCAGCCTCTCCAAATGTGTGTCACACTCTGCACAGTCACAGTGGTACCCAAAGCTAGACTAAAACTGGACATTTCCCATTGAAATAGAGCAGGGCTGCTGTCGACAGCAGACTGTCGCCTTAAGACACTGTTTGTCCATAACTTGCAGAAACTATTTTTAAAAAACCCAAACATGTGCTGCCACAGTGAAAACCACAGAAATTAATCACATACACACACGCACATGCTCACACACTCCCCCTCCCCCGCCCTGCACCAGGGTGGGCACGTGCAGGACACGGTGGAGACAGGCAGGGACCAAGTTAGCAAAACAGCTATTCTGGATGGGTGTGTGGACCCTGACCTGGTGACCATGGTGGAGACAGGAAGAACTGTGGCTCCCGGGAGCAGGGCCTCATGTTGGCAGAGGAAGAGCCACAGAGCTCTGTGGGGAAGGAGGTGCACCATGCGGGGGAAGGGCTGCCTCACCATCACTGCCCAGCGAGGTCCCCCTTGAACTCTGTAGCCTTCAGAACAGCGTGAAGATAAACCTCAGCTAAGCTAGGCAAGCACTGTCACCTGCCTAGGGAAAGTCCCTCGTCCCTCTCTTACCTTGTTGTCACTATATCAACTAATTGTTTTCTTGTTAAAAAACGTAACTGCTAGTCTCCAGATGCAAGGCCTGCTGCCACTGCTGGTCCCACCTTCTCATGTCTGTGCCCAGTGTGTCCTTGCAGGCCAGCCTGTGTCTGGTGCAGATAATACCAGGCACACAGCTGGTGCAGGCGAGAAAATGACACACACATTGCTCCTTGGCATTCTCACGCACTGGGATGCGTTTTGTGCCTTCCTGTGCAGGCACATGAGCCAGGCTGCCAACCTGCAAGCAAGCTCAGATCTGTGTAATCAGTTCTTTGAAGAAAGGGAGGGTGCGGTGTCTCAGCTGCCAGGCTAGGCCCTGAGTGAACACCAAGTGGCTGGAGGAGATGGGGCCTCCACCCCACTCCCAGGCCTGCTCCACAGTCCAGTCGGTCTTGGGACTCCAGTTCCTGATAGTGAAAGGTCACTGAAAGCAGGACTTGCAGCTTGAAAATGGGCTGTCTCTATGCAGCGGGCATCAGGACGAGCCAGGGGTTGCTAAGGAACAAGGTGCCAGAGCCACGGGCAGGTCTCAAGCCTTGGTTCAAAGCTGGGGTCCTTATGTAAGTCAACCTCTAAGCCTCTATTTTCTTAATAAAAAATGGGGCCAACAAAGCTCCTCTCGCAGTTCTCTTGGTGGGAATGGTGAGTCCCCTGGTGTGTGGGCGTTCTTCATCACAGACTGCTGTGTTCAGGCAGGAGTTGGCAAACTTTAATGGGTCAGGTAGCAAATATGTTACGCTTCTCTGCAGTATGATTTTTGCTCAGTTCACCGCTTGGGTCTAGCACAAAACAGCCAGAGGCAACGCACAAAGTAGTGGCTGGGGTTGTTACCAAAACACCTTGTTTCTAAAATTAAGGGAGGGAGATCTCCCTAAGACAGCATCTGTGCAGAAGGCTGTGAGGTGGAAAGAGGCTGGAGGGCAGGCTGATCTTCTAGGATGGAAACGCTCGCCATGCCTGGGCCAGGGTCAGAGGACATTGCTGTTTTGCATCACTGAGAAGGGTGGCTACCAACCAAGGACCCCTAAACTGTGGCCCACACAGCATTAGAGGTTACCAGTGAGCCCAAGGGCGGGGGTGCTCTGTGTGTCTCTAAGCTACAGACAGTACTGTCCATACATGTACACTGGCATGTTTCTGAGAAGGTTCACAGTTTCCTTTAATTTATGTAAAGGATCTTGACTGTAAGAGGTTAAAAAATCTGGCTTGAAAGAAAAAAGAAAAGCTGGATTGTTAACCCAGCAATTCTCCAAGTTTAGTGAAGACCTGAGTGACTATGGGGGGCCTTACAGATGTAGGTGGAGCAATAACAGGGTGCTTAGAGTCCCTGGTATTCCCTGGGTCCCTCTTGAGCTTCCCCTGGCCTCAGAGTGGCTCAAGACATGTTTTTCCCTGACTGGGGACAGCCTCCTGTCACCAAGCCCACTGGCTGTTCCTAGCTGTCCACAGTGCCTCCCACATCTCCCTCCTCCCCAGATGTGCAGAGCTGGGAGTGGCTTATGAGACCCCAGCTTCCTGCTCCTTGGGGCTGTTGCAGCTTGGGCCTCATATGTCCTGCAGAGGCCATGTGTGACCCCAGTGGTGGTGTAGGTGGGTTTGAGGTCACTGGGGAGGTAACAGTGCTACAGACTCCATCCCACGGTGGGGGAAGCTGGAAGGCGCTGGCACAGTGCTCCTACGTGCCCCTCGGAGGGCTGTACAGCAAAACTGAGATGTTATTACACCCACTGCCAACTAGTGCTCACAGGAACCAAGTCTAGTAAATCTAGGCCACTGCAGGTGTCAAAAGTGGACTTGAGAAGCCACAGGTGACTGTCAGGTCTACTGGGATGCATGCTACCCCTCTGGGGACACGGGGTCACCTTGCAAGGAACCCTCAGGGTGGGATTTTGACTAGTTCCCCACCCCAGAAGACAATCAGAGTTCCTTGCTGGGGGAAGGGTCCACCTGCCGGTTACTGACCAGGTATGCAGGGCCAAGGTCCAGCTCTGTGGAACAATGGCAGTATGAAGGTTGGGGTGTGGTCTGGCTGCTGGGAAATCCCTGTACACCTCACAAAAACTAAGTGGGCAGCTCAGGGCCACTAGTGGCCAGCAGAGGCTTGCTGAGAAGGCTTCACTGGGACACAGGGCTCTGGCTGCAGCCTGGGCTGAGAAACACTGGTCTTTCCTCAAGGGGACTCAGGCTGCCCCCTGCTGGCAGTGTGTGGCCTGTACATGGTCATGGCCGGGGAGTCTACAGCCACCCGCATCTTCCAGGCTCTCAGGCCTGACGCCATCTGGGCCTCCAAGGTCACTACCACTAAGTCCCCTGCAAGCTTCCCTGGAAGGGGAGTGGGCTCCCATGTTCTGCAGGTCTCATGCCAGTGCCCTCTACCAAGGGCAGGCCAAATGCTGGGCCATGTAACACAGCCAGAGCCCAGCCATGAAGCTGTGGGATGCCTCCTCACCCCCGAGGCTGTGCACCCTTGTGGGTGGTATCCCAGCCAGAACCTCTTGGGCATGTGTAGGTCTGAACAGTCAGTCAGCAGGTTGAGGGGACATGGAAGGCACAGCTTGGGGTTTCCAGGTACCCATGGTCACATTCCTGGCTCATAGGACAACATCTGAAGAAAAGATGCAGGCTCAAGCTGTGAGAGAGGCCAGTAAAAGTAGGATGTCTATCACCCTGTCACTGGGCAGCATGAGGGGAAGCAGGGTGTCTGGGAAGATCCAGGAGGATGGCATTCACTAGGGCATCTGTGAAACTCTGGGTTGCTCTGAAGAACAGGATCGGTGAGTAGAAGAGTGGCACTCCTGCAGATCAAGGTGTGCTGGAGTCTCCACTGGTAGATTACTGGTGACAGTGAGGTCTAGGATGAGGAACTGAGACTAGGTGGACACAGAAGGTGCAGGACAAACTCATGGTAGGTGACCAAATGACCAGGAAGTCCCTCCTGAAAGTGCTTTCCTGCAGTGGGTGCAACAACTGCACTGCTGAATGGCCCTGGCACTCGGACATGCAAGGATGCTGAGCCACTGCCATCCTGTAAAGCACTGAGAAGTGGCAATGAGCAGGCAAGTCCTGTCCACAGGTGGCTTGCGGCCTTGGGCTGCGCAGGAGGCAGCCAGCACGGTTGAGGCCCAGCGTGTGCTGTAACTGAGGACTGAGAGGAGTCCAGAGACCTCTCCAGGGAGGTGACATCTGAATCAAGATCCTTGTTCTGGTTCTTCAGCAAGCTGGGGCAGAGGGGTCTTTCACAGTGTGGGGAAGGGACAGATAGACATGGGACCCTTGACCTGGGGCAGTTCTGAAGTCAGACTGTAACCACAGGTTGGGGGGACACAGTCCATCCCCGTCTTGTCTGCCATTGGTGAAAGGTTTGTTCCACAGGGAATAAGACACCCCGCCCCCATTTAAGGTTACACAACCTCAGCCTGAAGGGTCTTGGGCACAAGTCTGGGGTGGCTGAGTTGCACATGCGCGGTCACTGGCTGGAACCCAGTGTTGGTGGCTGCCCACCAAAGAGGGCCTAAGAATCAGAGATGCGCAGTTACCTGGGGAAAGTACCTAGACCAGCAGCAAAAGTTGCAAAGGCCTCATGGCTTTCCACCCTGATTCCTCAAAGTGATAAATGGGACATACATTCTGTGCCAAATAAACAATTCTGAGTTCTGTCAGGAATCCAGGGCTGAGAGACTCCTGAGGTGCATAGTAGGTGACCTGAATGCTTCCTGGGGCTACGCTTTTGCATTTAGCTTGACCCTCCTTCCCAATTATTTGAAAGCACCCTCTGAAAGTGGGCAGGGCTGACCAACCAGTACCAAGGGTGTGAGGGGTCAGGAGACAACATCCTCTGCCAAGCAGACATCTCTGCCTGGAGCAGCCCCACTGAGCCCTGCATTCAGGCCATTCCAGCCAACCCGGACCATCTAACACACCAGGGAGTGACTGCACACTGAGCTCTGGTGAGACAAGGCAGCCAGGCCTCTGCCTCCAGTCATGCTGCCAGGAAAGGAGCACAGAAGAACTGCTGCTGAGGCCAGGGACATCTGGGTTCAAATCTGTTCCTGCTTGAACCTGAGCCAAACCTCATTTTTCTTATCTGTACTATAGAGACTATAGGGCCTGTTTGTGGAAGCAGCCTGGGCAAAATGCAAACTGCGAGGGGCCACATGCCAGAGACATGCAGTCCAGTGGCCAGTCCTCTCAGGTTTCTCTGAGTGTCCATGACCCCCAGTCCATTCCCAGTGTGGTGGCTCGGGGGCTGAGGAAGGATCACACTGCAGCCAGCGCTGGTCTCCGAGGCCTTTATTAGGAGGTTGGGCCGGGTCTGTAACAGTTCCTGGGAGAAAGGTAGTCTAGAGGCAGAGCGGCCTCTCCTTCAGGCAAAGGCACGGCTGGGCAAGCACCCTGGGGTGAGGGGCCCAACTCTGTAGGCACGCGCGGCTGGTTGGATGCTAAGCACAGCTGGAGGTGGAAGAGGTCACTTGGGGGAGGGCTGTCGGGCTCCCCCCAGGTGGAAAAGAAGTTCAGAGAGGCCAAGCTCAAAGGGAGAAATGGAGTCCAGCCTTTCAGTCTTAGTGTTTTGTGTAATTCTTAAAAACCAACATAATAAATATAACTTAAAAACTCACAGGACGCTAAAGGGAGTCTGGGAAAAAAACTAGGGGAAGCTTCCACATGCTGAGCAGCACTGTCTGTCCCTGCCCGGTTCCTGCGCACAGGTATCCTGCTCTGGGCACCATGTGGTCGGGTCGTTGCCACCAGGACAGAGCTCCGGGAAAGCCCATCCCGGACTAATCTCTCTCATGAGGGGCCATAGCTAGGAGCAGGCTGGAGGGGCAGAGCAGGAGTGGCGCCTGGCACTGAACACACAGAAACGAACCGAAACTCCAGTAAAGAGGAGCCCCACAGGAGCCTGGCTGCTCTCAGAAGGGGCTCCTGGCCTGGGGATAAGTGATCCTCTGCGCATCAGCATGTAGCCTGTGAACAGACGGTGCCCCTTGAGTGCCGAGGAGTTGTCTCTTACACAGGCTATACTGGTCCCTGTCAGTTTTGGTCATATCTTTAACTTGCTTTAGCAAATTTCATAGATAGAATAGGGAGAGTTTTCGGCCAGCTCACAGTGGAGAATCATCCTGGCTGAATGAATCTGCTATGTCCCCTCCCTGCAGAAAGCCCCTGGTGGCCTTTACCCTGTGAGGGCCACAGGAACTCTTGCCTCTGGGTGTTCAATGCCGCCCCCACACTGCCTGCCTTCCCAGTCATGTGCTGTCACAAGGCCTCAGATTCAGTAAGGGCAGGGTGTGACCTTCACCAAGTCAGCCCACATCGAAGTGCACCACAGTTTTGAACAAGAGCCAGGAAGTGTAAGTGATTTCCTTTTTAAAAATCTGTACTTATACATCCTCTTAATTCCCACCCCCCTGCCCACGCCAACTGTCACTCACCCACCCAGCATGAAAGGGGAAACATACTCATGTGGGTTGACTGACAGTTCCACGTTCTCCAGGTCCCAAGGTGCCAGGCCACCCTCCCCTGGAGCAACCCACCGGGTACACCTGTCACACTCACTTCTCCTGCAGCATCCCCAGGAGCCCCTGGCCTAGGACCCAGAAGTCCCTGACAGCCAGAAAAGGGGTGGGGAGCTCTAGGGCCCAAGAGCAGAGCTCTGAATGGTGATACGGGGCCAGGAGTTTTGTTCTTAAAAAGTCATGCAAAGTGCACCTTCTTAATAATAGACTGACTTTCTTTACAGTTAAGAATTGTCACCCAGGAATCTGACCATCTAGGGCCTCCAGGAAGAGCCCTGGGACTTCTGATGGTACCCACCATGTGCCCTGGAAGCCACCCACACTACCTGGGGAGACATGGGTCTAAACCCCTTAGGTTTTGAGATGTATTTCAGACAAAATGTAGAAACAATGCCAATACACCAAAATCCTGCTTCCTTCCAGCCTGACCCTCCTCCCCAACTGTTTGAAAGGACCCTCTGAAAGTGGACAGGGCTGACCAACCAGCACCAGGGGTGTGAGGGGTCAGGAGACAGTATCCTCTGCCAAGCAGACATCTCTGCCTGGAGCAGCCCCATTCAGCCCTGGACCTTGAACAAGGTGGAGTGGGAGGTCCAAGAAAGGCCAGTAAGCAGTGGTCCTGGAGGTGGCAGCAGCCTCCTTGGATGCTTTGCTTTGCACAACACCTCTTCTGAAACCATGGCCACAGTTCCAAATGGAACAACAGCTCCTGCCTGCCCCCCTCCTGGCAAGGCCTAGTCAGAGAACACAACCACCTTGGCTGGTCTTCTGGCTCCTAGGTCTGGGTCAAAGTTGGACGCTTTCCAAATCAACCTTAGAAGGGCCACCATGGCACCTCTGGAAGTCCCTGGAGCTGCTCATCGGAGGGTCCTCTGCTCACAAGCAACATGCTTTTTCCCCCCATGAATACAGGGCTCTCTAGGTGGGAGTGTTATGAATACTGGCCACCAGAGGGCAGTAGGCTACCACAAGTAGCCCACTCAGCCTAAGCTTCCAGGGGTGTCACAGAGCCAGGGGTCCCAAGGCCACTCCCACCCACCAGCTCTAAACCAAACTGATCGGTACAAGAGTCTTCTAGAAGATGACTATTTACAAAGAGAAGTTCTCTCCTATAAGGGGTCCTGCTATACATACAGCTAGGGAGGGTCAGTGCTGGAGCCTGAGGCCAGGCAACAGGAAGAATCAAGAGAGAAGAGAGAGGCAGTACAGGAGGAGCAGCAGGGCAGGGCAGGTGGCCTCAGGCCAAGGGGGCATCCTGAGACATTTCTGTCAGGATTTCGATGAGGTTGTTCAGCCCAGACAGGTAGCCATCCTCCCGATTCCCTTCCTGCCAGGGCACATCGTGCTGCAGGGTCTGGCCTTCTGGCAGGGGTGTAGTCTTCCCAAAGTCAATCATCCATACCTTGGCCTGCTCCTTCTTGTCATGGATGAAGAGCAGAGAGCTGCCGATAACCTGGTGGGCAGAGAAGGACAGGCTGCTGGGACAGCCCTGGACTGGAGGACCCAGGATCCACCTGGCCTGAGAGAACAGGGCCTGGCAGAGAACAGTGGGCCCCACATGGGATTTAAAAGTAGCTAGAAGAACACCTTGAAAGGCAGACCAGCACCAACCTCCACGACTGCATTGGGAGCCATGACTTCCCTTCCCAGCCTCTCTCTTCCCCAGCATCATGAGCGACTTCTCTGGAGAAGAGGGGGCTTTGGAGACTCCAGCTCTACTGTAGGGTTTAGGAAAAGCCCTGGTCCCCAGCAGCACAAGCCCCTGTGGATTCTGGCTCCTTTGTCCTGCCATACCTTCCAGGGAAGCCCTCCAGGAACACCCTCTGGGGACAGCAAGCCCTCCCTCCCGTCCTGGGTGAGGGCAGTATTCCACAGGAGCAAGAGACCCCATCACTAGCACAGGATGGCTTGGTGCTTGAAATCTGCCTGGGCTCAGTTTGGGGGGTGGCTTCCAGGCAGTCTCCTGTCCTCCAGGGAGGCAGGCAAAGCAAAGAGAGACTATGCAGGTGGCACAAGGACATATATCAGCTGAGAATGCAGAGGCCCGAGGAGTAGCAAAGGGTCTGGGTCCAAGGAGGAAAAAAAAGCATTCTTTTTTTTTTTTTTTTTTTTTTGGCAGAACTGGGGATTGAACTCAGGCCCTTGCACTTGCCAGGGAAGCACTTATTCCACTAAGCCATCTCCTCAGCCCAAGAAAAGTCTTCTGAGGTCAACTGACCAAACCAGATTCTGCTGGCAGAGCGAGACTAGCTGGGCCCCTGCCCTGTCCAGGCCCCCTGCTGGGGCTACCATACAGTGGGTGAGATGGGACCTGGCAAAGGGTAAGTGGGGAGCAGAACCCCAGGGTGAAGTCTTTGGTCTCTGGAGGGCTGGTGGTAGTATGCATGGAGGTAGGCAGCCTTCTCTGGGGACAGCACCAGGCTAAGGATTCCTCCACCTGGGACTCTTCCAGGGGCCATTCTCCCAGAAGAGCTGAAAGTCTGCTGGAGCCTGGACCCCCACCTCACAGTGTGAGCACCTAACCAAGCCTCCTGGAAGGCTCTAGCTGGGAGGCTACAACTATGTGTGTATGTGTTTGTGTGTGATTTGAGAACACACTTGTAATGGATGTGCATCTGTGTGTGGAGCCCTGGACACCTGTGTTTGATCTTGTAAAGTTCTCTTAGGGACCTGCTGGCCATTCTCAGAGCCTCCTCCAACCCTTGTCAGTCCATACAGCACTGTCCCTGAAGGCAGCAGGTGGGCGGTCCCAGCCCCCACGACATGGCTCATGGTTTGGTTCCAGAGCCCTGCCAGCCTGAAGACTCAGGGGTAGCACAGGGCAGCTAGATGCTACGGCTTTGCAGAGCACCTCTGGCCTGATCCCTGGGTGGTGGGGAGGAGATGTGGTCACAGCCACCCAGAGTGAACAGCTGTAGGGGAGCAGCATCTCAAGTTTGGTGGGTGCACTGGTTGCGCTGACAGTCCCCCGGGGCTGATCCTAGGTACCCTGCTTCTGGCCATAGCCACCCACATGTCCCACAGGCTTCTGGACTTAGCATACAAGCTGTCTGGCCTGCAGGACATGGGCACAAGGTCTACCTCGTGGCACTTGAAGAAGGGAGACACTTCTAGGGTGGTTCGAATGGCCTTTAGCCGGTCTCGGTAGGCAACCTGCAGAGAGAGGAGCAGAACACACACATTGAGTGGGGATAGGTGGACTTTAAGCTCCACCAAGCCACACTGGGGGGCACTGAATGAGGATCACTTATTCCAACCTCCACATCTACCATAAGGAAACTGTGGCCCAAAGGTGAGGGTGGCCTGGCTAATACCGTACCTAGCCTTTCTCCACCCCACTCCTGTGAGCAAGAGGTGCAGGGACAGAGGCAGTTCCATCCCCAGGGAGCCCTCTGGGAGGAGCCATGTCCTGGACAGTACCCACAAGGGAACAGACCCCAAGTGGCCACTCCTGTGCTACCCTGGATGTCATCAGCAGCTTCCAGACTCCTGAAAGCAGAGAAGGCAGGAGAGCTACCGGAAGCCCTATGAGGGCTCTGCGCAGCGCCTATCTCCCCAGGGGCCAGCTCTTGAGGGTCTCAGCTCCCAGGGGCATGGACCCTAAGGCACACATGGCTTCTCCGTTTCCATCGCTCAGCCACAGTGCAGATGGACTGGAACGGGCAGCAGACACCAGGGTTCCTGGCAGCATGAACGTGCCTTCCCAAGCACTTTCATGGCAGCAATACTGAGGCCTGCGGTTCTCGCCAGCAGGAGAACCTCGGCAGGCCTGGGTTCTCCCAGCAGCTCTAAGCTCCAAGTCCCAGCTGTGCACAGACCTGACTGTCACAAGGTGCTTGTGCAGCATGGCACTCCCATTCTTGGGCCCAATGGACAGGGCTGGCCTGGCCTACAGTGCCACAGCAGAAAGCACACTGGAGATCAGAGTGCTGTGAGGGAGTCCCCCCCACCCGCCACCCCCGTGCCTGCCGGGCAGAGCTGTGTGATGGGGCACAACATAGGCTGTGGATGACTCCATGCCTGTGGCCTGTGTCAGGCAACTGCATGTGGATCTAGACTCTGCCCTTCCTGATTTGTGTGTACTTGGCCTGACCAGTTTCTTGTCTGTCCATGGGCACACGAATAATCCACTGCAGAGGGATGAAAAGGGGACACTGCAGATGCTGAGCAGTCTGGCAAGGTTCGCCCCTATGGGGGGCTGAAGATATGTTCCTGAGCAGGGAGGCCAAGGGAGGACTGCAGTGTCCCGAGATGCGACTCACCAGGATGTTATAGTTTCCTTTTGTGAACTCCCTGAAGGCCTCGGTGACCTGCTCCCTTGTCTTGGTCTTCTTGAAGTCACGGTTCACAGAGCCATCTTCTTTCTGTGGAGGGAACAACATCCACAGGAGGGAGTTGGCTGGCACGCATTCAAGTGCAGAGTGGGGCGCCCTATCCCAACACTCAGTATGTCCCCCAGCCAAAACAGAGCAGTACAGAAAAAGGAGGTGGCTGCGGCCAGCACAGGAGCACATGGAGGTGGCCCCAGCATCCTGTGCAGAGGGTGCCAGGTCAGGGAAGTCCTAGAGGTGTGAGGAGCAGCAGAGTGGAGACCAGGGAGTGAGGGACAGGGCACCTTACTCCCCTGCTGTGCACATGCCCACCCTGGTCTCTCGACCTCTGCGACAATGGGGCGATTGCTGCTGTACTGCAGGGTGTGCTCAGTAGTGGCCCCAAAGCAGGGTCAGGTCAGACAGAGGCCCTAACCTGCTTCCTATAAGAGAGAAGCTGAATGTTCTCAATGTACTAAGGAAAGGAAAATGTCCCATGCTGAGAATGCTGGTACCTATGGCAAAAACATATCTTCTACCTGTGAGTTGTGATGGAGGAAATGGAAATACATGCTAGTTTAGCTGTCATGCTATCAGTTGTGGGATTCAGAAATTAAATTTCATCACAGGTGTGTGAGCCTCTTACTGTCTGTGCTTTCAAGCCTGATCTGGGGAACACTGCATGGGTTCCCTGAAAATAGGATCTGATCTTGCTCCTGTCCCTGGGCCAGGCTCCACTCTCTTGTCCACGCCATCCTGACCAGCACTTGGGCTCTGCCCAGCCGGGCGCTCTGCTCAAGACACTGGTTCTTAGAGGACACAGGGCAGAGGGTGGCTCTGGTAGGATCCCTGACACCCAGGCCAAAGATAGGTAGGTGACAGCTACAGTTTCACTAGGACAGCTTCTAAAGGAAGAGGCAGGTCCCTGGGACCACAAGAGCCACCACCATGCCCAAGCTGCAGGGACCAGGGGATGTGTCACCTGGTGGGGGGCCTTCCCACAGAGTGTCTCTGCTGGCAAATGGGTAGACAGGCAATGATGCACACAGTCGCTGTCTGAGGCAGCAGACAGACCGCTGGCTGTGCTACTGCTGGAAATACAGAGAACAGGCTGCCTTGGGAGAAAGGGGACCAGCAAGTGTAATGTTCCTTCAGATGAGACGGGGCAAAGAAGGGGGAGGGGTGGGGAGGAAGAAAAGAGGAGAGGGAGGAGGGACAGGAAAGGTGAGGAGGAGGGAAGAAAGGGGAGAGAGAAGCCCACCCAGTCTAAGCTGGAGGCTGCTGACAGGAGGGAAGGGTGCTTTTCCAGACAAGGAAGGTGCAAGGCTACTGTGAGAACAGGTGGGATGCTGGGGACTCACCAACTGGATAGAGTCATAGCTAAATGCCACCCAGAGGCAGCTGGCAGGAGCCTCACCTCACTGCAGCTGGGGAGTCCGGACTCTAGGGCTGGCATGGAGGCAGGCAGGCCCAGATGACACAGAGGGGAAACACAGGGCCCCTGCAGGCACTGCTTCTGCTCTGAGGTAAGCACCTATCACGTGCACCACGTAAGGTGAGATCAGTGTGCCCTCTCCTGCCTGTCTAAAGCCCCTGCTATGGGCTCCTGCTGGTTTCTGCCTGGATTAGAGGTGTGCTGAGCTGGCAGAAGGGCATCTGCAGGCAGGCTGGAGGTTCCCACCCCATGGCTGAGCCCCTACTGGCCATCCTGCCAACTGTACTGCAAGCCAAATCTGTCCTTGGGGCCAGTTGCCTGCAGGAGACCTGGGAAAACCCTAGCCTCTCAGGGGTCCCAAGGCTCCTGCCATCCCATGGGGAGCCTCACTTTGATCCCCTCAATCCTGAAGCCCAGGGTAGCCGTGGAGCTGATGGTTTCCCTCCACTGCATGTAGCGCGGCTTGGTCACGGCCCGCTGTGCCCGCTCCTCCTCGGTGGGGGCGTCAGGGTCCACCTCGACCATCTTCTGGTACATGTCCTTCCGCAGGCTGGGCTTTTTCCGGGCCTTGGTGAGTTCTTCCTCCAAGTATGTCCTGTGGGCAGGTGGGGGGATGTGAAGATGGAGACACTGCCCGGCCTGAGCACATGGGTCATCTGCAGTCCCTGGACAAGGACCATTCGTCACAGACAAGCTTCAGGCTGCTAAAACTGACTGCGGAAAAGAGGCAGCCATGTCGTACCAGAGAGTCTAGGTCACGTCATCCTGGAGCTGGGGAGGCAGAGGAAGGAAGGGAAGCACAGCCCCAGGGCTGGTCAGAGCTCTCTATGCTCCTGCCCACCTCCCCATTCTCAGGCTCTTTCTCAACAGCAAGTCAGAAGGTGGCCTCTAAAGGAGCCACACACAGCCCTTTGGGAAGAAGCCACTGAGCAGCATCCCTCTTGCCCTGCACACTAGTCAAGCAGGTGGAAGCAGGCTGAACTGGCAGACAAGAGACCCTGGGGAAGGATCAGGGGCCCATACCCTCAGGCCTTGGCAGCCTGAGGCTGCAAGTTACTGGCCCTGGACTGTGCAGATCTGCTCTTCGCCCCAGAGTAGACTGGAGCTTCCAGCACCACCTCCTCTGGTCTCCATGAAGGCCTGTAGCCACCCAGGCTGTGCAGAGAGCTGAAATCAGCAGGGCCGTTGCAGGATGGGGAAGTGGTCTCCCCCTGCTCTGTGTGGGTGGGAGCTGCCCTGGAGGCTGCCTTCTCTCTGCTCTGGCCTCCCACACTTCCTGCCTGACCCCAGGCCTTGTTCCAGAACCACCCACCACCTCTTCTCCCATCTGGTAGTGTGAGACCTAGAATGTCTCAACAAAAGCCTGTAGCTCACAATGATAGATTTGCAGAATCCACTACTGTTATCAACTGATACTTTCACTGAAAAGGAAAAGGGGAAAAAAAAACCCAAAACCAAATCCTGGGGTGTCATGACCTATGGATGATGAGAACCTTGAGTGGAAGTCATCAGCTTTTGGTTGGGGGCCTGCACATGTACACGCACACACGTCCACATGCACAGAGAACACTGCACACAGAGCCAGCTCAGTGACCAGGCTGTCTGTGCACCCAAGTTTGCCATGGGGTCAGGGCTCCAGGCCCAGTGCTCCCCACAGACCTGCGTCAGGGATGGTGGGTGCACTTCTGCAGAGAGCTCCTCAAAACCTCCTTGAACAGGAAGAAGACTTCAAAGTCAAATCGCTGTTCACTGGGCCTTTCTCCAAACAGGATTCCCTCAACTCCCTCTGTGCGGAGTGGTTTCCCACAGCAGGAGAGGAAAGGGCTGGGTGGATGGAGGGCCGAGGGTCCATGGGGAGCCAGGCTGTAGAGCTCCCTGCTGCCCTGCCTGCCCCCACGCCAAGGAAATGCCAAAGCTCTGTGCCATCGGACACTCTGGACTGGGTAGGAGAGGAGGGCAGCAGGTAACAGATGGAGGCCAGCCACAGCACCCCAGCCCCAGTCCCTGCTCCAGATGAACCCCTGGCCCAACTCTTCATGGGGGTCACAAATCCAGGAGCCACACTCAGGGCAGCACAGCACAGGCCTGCACACACACATGCACATGGGAACACACACCACACGCTGCCAGGGTAACCAGTTACTCCTGGAGTGCACAGCAATAGGCTGTAGGCAGAGCTGTGCAGGCATGGGCACAGCTTCACTTTGCTACTGTGTGGCTGGCTGGCCCTGATAATATGGGGGTCAGAATCTTCCTGCCCCAAATGGTATGACCTGCCCCCTAGATAACTGTGGAGTGTGATGAAAGCAGCACTTGGAACACACAAGTGTTCTCAGGATTTGCATGCAGGGAGCTATGGTGCAGTGGGCACAGGTTCTAGGGAGGCTTCCCTCTTCTTCCTGCAAGTCCTTCTGCTGCCTCTGCCCTGCATGAGGCTGAATGCACCTCAGCCCTGCTGGTCACTCTAGGTCCTTCTAGAGCCCTGGGGTGCTGTGCGAGAGAAGCTGCCAAGGTTGGGGGTAAGGAGGGGAACCTCCTGCCCCTACAGCCTCCTGGGGAGCAGGCAGGCACATGGAGCAACAGCAGGAGTCCCCAGGGCTACTGCCTGGAGGCTGGCACTTGGGCTGTCCCATGTGGGCATCTGAGAAGACACCAAGTGGCCTGGCTGCTTCATGCTCTTGCTGCAATTCAACCCTTCATGGCATGTAGGACCAGGCCTCTGCTGCCCAGGCCTTCCCTCAGGAATACATATCCTGATACAACAAGCCAGGGGCTAGAGCTACTTTGAGGATAGGAATAAGACTGGGAGGAACAGCTACTATGAGGGGCTGGAGGGGTGTTTTGCCTCCCTTGGTTCCCTGCAGGCCCCTGATATGGGAGGAGGTCTAGGAGGTAAGTGAGCCCGAGGCAGCCTGCTGGAGGGTCTGATTTTAGGACACAAGTCCAAGGAGGGGGGAGAGGACAGGAACCCAATTGGCTGGGCCACTTCTCTCCTGGCCTCTCTCGGTTTCTGTCTCTTACATCCCGCTTTCTCAACTTCCCTGTGTACTTCTTACATGAAGAAACCATTCGGAGCAGACCAGGCTTGGGCTCTGTGCTTATCTTTTCCACGCCTACACATGTCTCTGTACAAGGCGTGGAAGCCTGGGTTCCGCATCCAGCCTGGGCCAGGCCCTGCAGCATGTGCATAGGGCACCAGACACCAGTGTGTGGGCTGGCAGCCTCAGGGGTCCTACTGTCCCAAGGACCCAGGCATGCGTGCTTGGAGGGGACCTGAGCAACAGTCTGAAGGAGATGAGAAAACCTGTGGCCAAAGCAGGGTTGTAGCTCAGGGCAGCAGTCTCTCCACCCTGCTTCCCCTGCCTCTTTCCTTTCTCCTCTTTGTCTTTTCGCTCTTGGCACATGCCAGGCTGAGCCTGAGCCCCCTGGAGTGGGGAGGGTGTCTATGGGTCCAGCAACCTCCAGGCTTCCAAGGGGGTATCTGGGCCCCCATTTCAGCCAGAGGCACAAGGTGGCTTGTTTACCAGCAGCTCTCTCCTCTCTCGTGCTGTCTCCTCTTGTCCACCACCTCCCTACCTTGGCCTGCTCTGCCCATGCCCTGGAGGTCGTCCCACCAGGTGCCTTTCTTGGATCTCCCAGCATGGGCTCCCACCTCCCACCAGCTCACTAGAGAGGGGAAGGAGCCATCATTGTGGCAAAGCCAGGGCCCTGTACCTTTGCACACAATGGGGAGGCTGGGGGTTCTAGGTGGTCACCTAGGTGCCCTGGGAAGCCCTAAAGCCTTGTGGGCATCTGTTGCACCCAGTGAGGAGTTAGCTCACCTGACACCCATCTTGCAGTCCATTACACAGGGCGAGTCAAAGTCGGCCAGCAGGTCATCCATCTGGTTGTAGCGTTCTCCGTCCTTCACCACATCGCCATGGTAGGCAGGCACAAAGGGTCGAAGCACATCAGCCATCAGCCGGTCGAGGCAGCGCTGCTCTGACTCGCAGTGCTTTTTCAGGATCCGACCATTGGCCGCGGCCTTGAAGCTTCCTGGAGGGCAGGTGGGAGGGAGAAGGCCTTAGCATCCAGCCAGGGGCCTCCCTGGGGCTACTGCAGAGCTGGCTGAATAGGAACTGAGGATGCACCCTGAGTCTCACTGTGCACCGCACTTCCACGGGAGCAACTCTGGATCTCTGGCCCATGCTCTCTGATGGCAACCTGGCCTTCTTATCCCACATGCCTCTGTGGGGGATGGGGATGGGATAAGCACCCTGGCTCAGGGAGGCAGGAGCCTCCTACCCTCCCCACAGCATCACTGCTAGCTTTCCCACCCCACCTTGGCCCTGGTTTTCTAGCAACATGGGTGGCTCACAGTCTCCTAGAATTCACAGCTGGGCCATAGAGTGAGCCTGAATATGAGCCTCCAAGGTAGCACTCCTGGGCCACACCCTCAGGTAATTATGTACAACAGCTGTCCAGATACATGTCCCAGGCTGGACCAATGTGGCCAGGCATTTAAACAAAATATCAGACCCTGTGTTGGCCTGGTAACCTATAGGCCAATGAAGCCATGGAAACCAAGCAGACATGGAAATGTCCCCCGAAGAACAAACATGTGGGAGGGCCACCACATGTAGGTCAGACGATTCTGGAGCTTCAGCTTCAGATGCCTCTCCCTGTCCCTGGTGGGTGACATGGGGATCATACACAGTCCCCACTCCCTAGCCACTGGCACCCTTCTGCAGGTATGGGTGACTTGCCTGTGTCTTCCACCAGTAGCAAATTCCTTCAGGCAGAGACTATGTCTGCATTAGTGCTGAAACCCTAGAGCCATGGCGACGTGGGTGCACAGTAGGTGCTCAAGGAGGCGGTAAGCTTTGCCTCTTTGTCCAGGGTGACAAGTGGTAGGCAAGCTAAAGACTGATGACGTCATCTGCTTTACTGAGTAAAATTGGAAGAGAGATTGAGAGAGGAAAAAAAGATTGAAAGTGACGAGGCAGAGAGAGGGACAGAGGGAAGGAGCATATGTGTGTGGCAGTACTGGGCGGCCCAGCCCTGGAAAGGTCGGCTTGCTCAGTTATAAGCCCATTCAGAGTTTTGATTCTAATGCCTAGTTCCCAGGAGTTCAGGGCCCAGGACCACCCTCCCCACCTTTTCCAAGTGCCTCCCGGAACACCTGTCCTCTGCCAGCCAAACAGGAGTGTCATCTACCTGCGTGTCCCGCCAGCTGGATCCAGGGGTACTTCTTCTTGAAGGACATGACAAAGGGAGACCAGTGCACCATGTTTTTTATTTTCCTCCATGATTTGCTCTAGAAGCAAGCAAATAGAAAGCTCTGCATTAGAAAGATGACCACAGACTTCCACCACTTTCTGGGTAGGATGATCTCTAAGCACAGCAGCTCACTGTGGCCACTGCACCAAGGGTACTGAATCTACAGTGCAGGGGCCCTTGGGCTCTGAGTACCTTGCCACCAGAATCTGTGTGGTGTGTTCACACATAGCTGTCCCACTTGACAAGACAGGCTGAGCAAAATGCTCGGGGGCTTTCCGTAGACAAGGCTGGCAGCTTCAGGAGGGGGTAACAGAGGAGGGACCGCGTGCTCCCCTCCCAGGCATGGGACAGACGGACATGGGACAGACCTCAGGTTTGAGGTCTGGAAGATGACCTCCCTGGAGCTGAGGACAGTGCACCCTCTGTGGAAAGCGGAGGCTCTGCCACCTTGCACAATGCCCCAGCACACTGTATTGGTAGATGTGGTGTCCACAGACACCTCTTACCCATGAACGGTTTGAGGGAAGTTTTCCAGGGAGAATGTTTTTCACCTATGGCTTCAGGACAACAGGATGAACAAGAAGCCTACTGCTCTCTCATCTTCAACTCAATTAAGCAGCTAGGCCCACCAGTGGCTGAGCATGCATGTGCGCATGTGTGAGGAAGTGCGGGGGTCCTCCAAGTAGAAAGAACTGCGATTTACTGAGAGCTTATTTTGTCTTTGCAATCAATACACAACAGTTACTACTTTTTCTATTTGACTCTGAGCCTCTAAGATGCAGGGAGGGAGCAGGAATTTAAACCTCATCTACATAATCCCTGTACTACAGCAAGCTAAGACTGGACAACTGCAAGTTTGAGTCTAGCTGGCAATTTAAAGACAGAAAGACCCTGTTTCAAAGTAAAAATAAAAGAAGTGTTGAGTTTAGCTTTACTGCAAAGGGAAGAGTACCAAAAAAAAAAAGGTATAGAAACCTTAATTTATACAACTACGTTAAAAAAAAAAAAAATCCTTCCCTCCCCTCACTGCAAGAAACATGTCCATAGGGAAAAATTCCCTTGAGTTATTTTAGTAAGAACAGGATCACCAAGATGTTGATCGAGGGCCCACCCCTCAAGCACTCTAGCCCAAGGGAAGAGGAAGAGGAAGAGGAGGAGGAGGAGGAGGAGGAGGAGGAGCTGGGAATGAAAAGTTCTGGAGCTCTGGGACAGTGGTACCAGCGGCAGCAGAACCGCAGAGGTCCAAGTCATCAGGATGGTAGTGGGCTGAGGAGAAGCAGCAGCAAGAAGAGTCCTGCAGGAGCAAGAGCAGATGAGCGCCCTGATGGGATGTGTCCTGAAAGCGGGGTGCCCATCCCCCGCCCCGAGGTGCCCAGTCCTGCACAGCAGACAAGAGAGTCTGCGTTCTCAGGGTACTTCAGCCCCCTTGGTCACTTCTCTGTCAAGACTCGACTCTGTTGTCCAGTTTCAAAGCAACATCTGTTTAAGAAGGATTCTTCCCTGACAGCCCGGCAACTTTTATCCCCACCCCAGAAATGGTCTGTGGCCTCAGGCCTGGTTCCAGCCTTCAGTGAGGGTGCCAGCTCCAGCCCTGTGACAAAGGGTGTTTCTCCTAAATCCTGCTGACAGAAATCTCCAAAGATGGCCTGGTAAACTGAGCACTTTGGATCTGAGTGCCCAGCAGGCTGGGTCAACAAGCACAGGGGGTGATTTTGGTGGGAGGGAGCTGGGGTCTTAATTTCCTCATTCGACTCTTAAGGGGCTGCACACAGGTCCCCAGACTCCTGGGACTGAGGGGCCTGCTAGGACTCTAGCATAAATGACCTCATGCTGAGAGCAATGCCCTCCCAGGGAGGCCAAGGGGGCCCCCAAACCTGCCGCAGCACTAAATATCTCACTTGTATATGCAGTGGCACAGGAGCACTCACAGCCAAAGGGGACATTTCAAGGTGACCCCTGGGAGTGGGGTGCAGTGGTGCATACCTAGAGCCCCAGGTACTTGAGAGGCTGAGGAGACAGGAGGATCACTTGAATCCAGGAGTTGGAGTTGAATCTTGGCAACATAGAAAGACTCTGTCTCAAAACCCACCCCCCAAAAATCAACCCAAACAAAACTAAAAAAACAACAAAAACAAAAGCCTGCTAGGAAGAAAGGAAGCTGTGGAGACTGCACTCAGTGAGGCATTTGAGGCCCTGGTGAGCATAATGTGCAGGCTGCCCACCTGCCCTGCCTGCCCTCCACCACACCCGAGAGGCTCCATATCCTTGTCTGTACAATGAGATCACAATGGACCCCTTCCCCAGGAGACAGCTACGCACGACCGTGGTCTCGGGTATCTGGAGGGATGCAAGCATCTGGAGACTACCTCAGAGGCTCAGGTCCACTCTGCTGGATGACCGCTTTCCAGGGACCAAAGGCACAGGGGGCAGCTATAAGAAGGCAGTGCAAACAGGTGCCTGAGGAGACGGCAGGGCTTGGCCTCATAGACATTACAGTCCCTGCTTCCTGCCTGGATGTGGACTGTAGGATGGGTCCACTGGGAAGAAATATGTGTACAGCACCAGGATCACTGTGCCCCACAGGCAGTACACAGGGAGTTTCCTGGGGGCTTTAAATGGTGGCATCTCGGAATGGCTTCAGCTGCTGCCAAACCCTGAAAAGAAAAGGTGTTTTCTAAGGTGATTTTCACCCTGTGGTCCCCGAACACAGGAACGGTCACAGAGACCATGGCGCATTCCCCCTCCTCCCCCCTCCCTGCAATAGCCAGACAGGATCGTGGTAGAAGCTGCTTTCGGGCTACAGGTGAAAGCTTCTGGGTGGAGTCTTTCCTCTAAGGGTCCTGTTAAAAGACTGTAGGCCCCAGACACAGACCCTGGCCTCTTCCCCATCTCTCAGGTGCCAACATGAGGGAGGAGGAGCCCGGCAACAGTATGGAGTTCTACCCAAGGGACAGCATCATGCATAGCCTAGCCCCTCCTGGGAGACTGTGTATAGCTGCTCAGTTGTATGACCCTCTGTCAGAATCACACCACAGCCCTGGGCCCCAGCTTCTCAAGTGCAGCTGTGGGTAACACAAAAGTAGCTTGCAGATGCCTCCATTGTGTGGCAGAGGGCCATGGGCACCTCCTGACCTCACTGGCCCTGTGCTTGCATCATTCCTGAGCATCAGGTCCATCTATGAACCTTTCCAAGGGGGCCCAAAGGTTCCACCATGACCGGTCCACACTGACTCTGGGCCCTGGGTCCTCCTATGTGAGTCTGAGCTCTTAGCCAGCCAGCCTGGATGGGACCCAGTGCTACACGTGCAACCTGGTCAGTGAACTGGCGGCCATCCCAAGACTGCCAAGCACTTCAGGTCAGGGGACTCATGCTGGCTGGCATAGCTCCCGTCATTTCCTTGGGAGATGGGAGGGCTCATTTCCATAAGCGGTAAACACATACAGGACCAGGGTGTATACTCCTAACTGTTACCACTTGCTTTGTGACAGGCACTGGGCCAAGGGTCTTATCCTGACCTTCACAACAACCTTTTAGGAGTGTTTTCTCTATTTTGCAGATGAAGAATCAGGCTCAGCAAGTTCCTTCCCATTCTCTGTTGCCGAGAGTAGGTACCAGCTCACACTGGGACCCTCTTGTTATGTTTTGGGTCTAGATGTCCTCCCAAAGCCTCATGCAGTTTTAGATGGGCCTTTTTTGGAGGTGGCAGAATCTAGTGATCGGTGGTGCAATGCTGGGATTAAGGGTGCTGGGATCAAGGGTGGGCTGGATCAGTCCACTGATGGGATCGGCACCCCCCTAATCTCTGTAGACCAGACAGAGCATAAAAGAAGCAGAAAGACACTGTTAAGGTTTAGTTGCTGATTTGTTATCTTCTACCCTCCGTGAACCCTCTACCTTCTGCAAAGTCACCCTCCTCTGGAGCCAGCTGATTATGGACAGAAATCTCTACAAACTGTGAGCTAAATAAACCTTTCTTCCTTTGAGTGTAGCGTGTTTTATCACAGAAATGAGAAAAGTAACTAAGATGTCTCCCAACCATCAATTCACCAATTCCTGTGCCTATCTCCAGCTAGGCATAGGGTTCTTTATGGTTCTAAGACAGCAGGTCATAGGAGAGAGAGGAGATTGGACAGGAAGAACCAAATGAGATTCTTCCAAGGTGGCTGGTTCCTGGGGTAGCCGGGGTGCTGGCACAGGGGGAGCCTTCTGGCTGTTCTTTTAGCTGAGTAGCACAGAGCAGTAGAAGAAGCTGGCGGTGCTCATGGGATGTTCAACAGGAAGGAAAGGCCCTGTGCCAGGCAGGGAGAGGCGCGAGGAGGTCTGGGGACGAGTGCAGACATGGCTTCCAGTGTGATCCTGCAGCAGAATGTGAGACCAGCTCGCCCAGGTAGGAGGTCTTCCAGCAGTCTTGGACTTCAGAACTTAGACTGATGCTATCAACCCCTGAACTGATGTCTTCCTAGTTCAACAAGCCTGGCCTGGCTCCACCGTGTGTTCGCCCTCAGGCAGGCAGTGCCTTCTTGGGACGTTTGTCACCCAGCCTGAGTTTGTGCTCAAAGAGGTACAGGGTCCCATGGTAACGTCTCAGTGCACAGGCAATGTGAGCCCTCTATTCACTCAGTCTGGACAGAAAGGATCAGAGACCAGCCTGGTGGATTGTTGCAGACATAGGTCAAAGGTAAAGTGCTTGCCTGGCATGCACACACCTCTGGGTCACTTATCAGCAGTACCAAAAAAAAAAAAAAAAAAAAAAAAAAAAAAGTCCTGCAAGTTACTAAATGGAGAATGTGGAGAGTAGTTTGCAGTAGTAGAGAAAACCTCGCAAAACCCCAACCCTCCTCATGCTCAAGAGTTGTGAGGGGAAGGGAGCTTGAAAAGCAAGTCTCGCACAACAGGCCTGTCCTGCCATACCGCCTCTACCTGGCTGCAGAGCCTGGCAGGAGGAGACCTTCAACTCGGGTTGCTAGGACCTGGCCTGCTCCGCCTAACCTTTTCCTCTTCCTTTTCCTAAGAATTGGTCTCAAGAGCAGATGTAG